AGAGGGAGAGGGAGAGGGAGAGGGAGAGGGAGACGGAGACGGAGACAGAGAGGGAGAAGCAGATGATCCAGTGTTTAAAGGTAGGGCTCTGTAGGTCACAGTATAGAGTTTGGCTCTTACTCTGAGTGATATGGGAAGCCATCAGCAGTTTTAAATAGAAGAGTTCATTGATTCAACCTACATTTTAACTGGATTGTTTCAGCTGCTGTATTGACAATATTCTTGAGTTTCGGGTAGGAGAAACTGTATAAGCTGGAGAATGAGTTAAGAGGCTGTTGAAATTATCCAAGTAAGAGATGACTGTAGCTTTGGATAAAGGTAGTAGCAGTAGTAACAATGAGAATGGGTCACATCTGGTCATTGATTTGGAGTGCATAATGTAGCCAATCTAATCCATTTAATTTGACTATAAAAACAGATTGTTTTTCTTCATGTCTTAAAATATTCTCTGCTATTTGTCCTGCTAATAGCATAATTATGAAAACCCATAACCCTTACAGTGACATTGCACAAATATTGTTCCGGTGTTCGTGAGAACATAGTATATGGTTTCTATCTACCTTCATAGCTTAATATCATACAACCTTAATAATAATATTTTTCAAATCCCTTACAAAATATTGCCAAGGAAAGACATTCTGACCATGTGTTCCTATTTTTTAGCAGTTAGGAAAATGCATAAAGTGGCTCATTTCGGCTGTCTAGGAAAGGGCTTTTCCAACATGGGCCTTGACCCATTTTTCCCTCATAGGAAGTACTGATTGTAAGCTCACATAAGCAAAGATAAGAGGTCATTATTAATTGTAGACTGATAATAGAGGGGTTTGCAAATTTGGCTTTAGGTCAGATTTTTGCTTAAGTTCTATAAACTTTTGTACAGAATGGGAGGGGGGTGTCAAAAGTCATTTTCCTTGAACATTCTCTTATTGAAGTAATTATATTTTGGTTCTCTGATGTTTATAAAAGATTTCTTTAAAAATTCTGTGCTGATCTTAGGATTCAGAAGTTGGTACCAAAATTTGGAACCCATGGGTTATTTTTTCATGTGTTCATTTAATAAACATGCATTAGTTTTATTTTTTTACTTTTCGTCCAGAGAGCCAGATAATTTGCTGTCCGACTAAGGACAGGACAAATTTTCCACTGATTGATATTGGAAAGTGTTGTCGGCTTAGCCTCTGGTAATGCTTTGTTTCCATGGGCCCCAACTGATTGCTATTTGAACTCAAACACATTGCAAACCACACACATAATCCAGGTATCAGGAACTGAAGAACTCAGGCCAGGAGAATTAATAGGCTCAGCTGGTCAGCACCAGCGTTAGCCCCAAATGGGACAACCAAATATCCAATTCCTCTCTGTTCTGTAAGGTTGGTTGCCATACTGACTTCCAGATTTATTCTCTTGACCTTCCCATTTTTATCAAGCTCACTAAAGCAGGAATGAGAATTATGTGGATTCTGTTTACTAATGACTACTAAAAGTCAACTGGCCACCTTAACATTAAAATTTAAAGTGTTCATCAACAATGATTCGATACCATAGGTCTTGAAAAATTATCATCTTTGAAGTATTCCTTTACAGCCAAGAAAATGATAAATGTTAGACAGTGTTAATTTTTAGTAAAAATGGGCCACATGGAGTAATGCAATTTTAGGAATGGGAGGGGAGTTGATGATCATCCAGTTTAGCTGCCTCCTTTTACAAAAGAGTAAACTGAGGCTCAGAAGTAACATCCCAAGGAGTAGACAGTTTCTGCAGAACCGGAAAGGAAGCCCAGGTCTCCTCATTGTTAACTCCATTGCTATTTACTCTTATAATTTTAATTTCAGAATTCATGTTGACTGTGATGGTTAACTTGATTTAGCGTGAAACTTAGATTTCAGAAAAAAAATTTAAATTAAATATGCACTGATAATTTCAGCAATTTGCAAAACTTGGAGATCTCCCAGGAAACAGAGAATAAATTGTTTCAATATGGTATCCTAGGAAAAGAAGGCTTTTCCCTACCTCGTAATTAAATCTGAAAGATTCCTGCAGTGAACTAAGAGGTTTATAATAAAGTACTAAGCTGCATTTAGAATTTGAGCAATGAAAGGCTCTTTGTTCTCATTTCAAAAGGTTCCAGGGCTGAACAATTTGGCTCCCGATACAGGCATGTTTTAGACCACCTGCAGACTCTAATCTACGCAAATTTATTTGGTACAAACTTTCTTCTACGTCACCTCATTCGGTTTAATTCCAGAGAGGTTATTGCTAGCGTTAAACAACGTTAATAAGAAAACAGCTGCTCTCATGGGGGCTGCCCTGAAAAGAAAAGCAGAAAAACTGAACCTTTGTTAGCTTCTTCCCTACGAATGCACTGCCATGAAAGTGTATAACTTTCAGAGGGAATAATCACCTTGAGCAGTAGAGTGTTTCCTATAACTGTGATTCTAGTCTGTCCTTCAGCCAATAGTCATCTGCACGTTAACTCTCGATTCAAAAGATTAGGTTAAAAAGTACACTAACCATCCACTTCTCCCATCCGACCACTGCATTGTATTTCTGAAACTGATGTTGAATAATACTGTATGTCAACTATAATTATATATACATATAACCTCGGGACATGGAGTAGAGTGCGGG